TGTATGTATATAATATTTTCTTTATCCATTTATGTGACAATAGGCACTTAGTTTGTTTCCATACCTTGGCTACTGTAAATAATACTGATATGAATGTTGGAGTACAGATATCTCTTCAAGATAATGATTTTGTTTTCAAAGGATAACAGTATACTCAGTATGGGATTGTTGGGTCATATAGTAGTTCCATTTTTAATTTCTTGAGGAATCTCCATGGTGTTGTCCGTAGTGGTTGTACAAGTTTACATTCTAACTAACAGTGTACAAGGGTTCTTTTTTCACCCCGTACTCACCAACATTTATCTCTTGTCTTTTTGGTAATAGACTTCCTAACAGGTGTGAGGTGATTTTGATTTGCATTTCCCTGATGATTTGTGACACTGAGTTCTTTTCGTGTACTCAGTCCTGTTGGCCATTTGTATGTCATCTTTGGAAAAAAATGTATATTTAGGACAGTGATGACGAACCTTTTGAGCTCGGCGTGTCAGCATTTTGAAAAACCCTAACTTAACTCTGGTGCCATGTCACATATAGAAATTTTTTGATATTTGCAACCATAGTAAAACAAAGACTTACATTTTTGATATTTATTTTATATATTTAAATGCCATTTAACAAAGAAAAATCAACCAAAAAAATGAGTTCGCATGTCACCTCTGACACGCGTGTCATAGGTTCACCATCACTGATTTAGGACCTTTTCCCTTTTTAAAATCAGGTTGTTTTTTGCTATTGAGTTGTATGAGTTAGGTATGTTCCCTGTATTTTCTGGATATCATCCCCTTATATGTGGTTTGCAGATATTTTCTCCCAGCCTGTAAGTGGACTTTTAATTTTGTTGATGGGCTCCCTTTGCTGTGCAGAAGCTATTTGATTTTATATAATCTCACCAGTATTTTTGCTTTTGTTGCCTGTGCTTTTGGTGTCAAATCCAAAAAAAATCATTGCCAAGACCAATGTCAAGGGGAGGCTTACCCCTAGTTTTCTTTTAGTAGTTTTATGGTTTAAGTCTTACAGGGGTCCTCAAACTACGGCCTGCGGGCCACATGCGGCCCGCCGAAAACATTTATCCGGCCCGCCGGGTGTTTTTGCCGCTGCTGCCTGTTGCTTAGCAGCCGACTAGTTTTTTTTTAAACTATAGTCCGGCCCTCCAGCTGTCTGAGGGACAGTGAACTGGCCCCCTGTTTAAAAAGTTTGAGGACCCCTGGTAAGATCTTACATTTAGGTCTTTAATTCATTGAGTTAATTTTTGTGTATGTTGTAAGATAGTGATCCAGTTTCATTCTTTTGCATGTGGTTATCCAGTTTTCCACCATTTATTGAAGAAACTGTCCTTATTGTATATTCTTGGCTCCTTTGTCATAAATTGAGTATATATGCAATGGTTATTTCTGGTCTCTCTATTCCTTTGATTTTTGTGTCTGTTTTTATGCAAATACCATACTGTTTTGATTACTATTGCTTTGTAATAGTCTGAAATCAGAAAGAGTGATGTCTCCAGCTATGGTTTTTTTCAAGATTGGAGTCTTTTGGGGTTCCATATTTTAGGACTGTTTATTCCACTGCTGTAAAAAATACCATTTGAAATTTCATAGGGATTGCTATGGGTAGTTTGGATATGTTAATATTAATTCTTCCAATTAATGAACACTAAATATTTTTAAATTGATTTGAGAGAGAGGAAGGGAGAGAAAGAGGGAAACATCAATCAGTTGCCTCCTGCACATGCCTGACCAGGGATTGAACCCACAACATGGATATGTGCCCTCATTGGGAATCGAACCTGCCACCTTATGTGACAATGCTCCAACCGAGTCACACCGGCCAGGGCTGAGCACGGAATATTTTGTCATTTATTGTGTCCTCTAATTTCTTTCATCAATGTTATTGTTTTCAGTGTGTAGATTTCTCACCTCTGAGGTATTGTATTGGTTTTGATGCATATATATATATATATATTGTTGTTGTTTGTTTGTTTAAATTTTCTTTTTGAAGTTCATTGTTTATAGTAATGCACCTGATTTTTGTATATTGCAACTTTACTGAAATCGTTTATTAGAGCTAACAGTCTTTTTCATGGAGCTTTTAAGGTATCAATATATAATATCATATGAAAACAGACACTGTTACTTCATAATTTGGATACCTTTTGTTATCTGTGGGCTTGTCATATATGACCTTTATTATATTGAGGTATATTTCTCTATACTCAGTTTGTTGAGTTTCTATCACGAAAGAACACTGAATTTTGTCAGATGATTTGAGATGATCATGATTTTTATCCTTTATTAATAGGGTGTATCACATTGATTTGTAGCTGCTGAACCATTCTTGGACCCCTGGAATAAATCCCATGTGATATGGTGTATGATCCTTTTAATGTAGTGTTGAATTTAGTTTGGTAATATTTTGTTAAGGACTTTTGCATCTATGTTTATTAAGGATATTTGCCTGTAATTTTCTTTTCTTATAATGTCCTTGTCTGGTTTTGGTACCAGGGTAATGCTACCCTTGTAAAATGAGTTTTGAAGTGTTGCCTCCTTGTTTATTTTTTAGAAAAAATTGAGGATTGGTATTAATTGTTCTTTAAATGCTTGGTAGAATTTACCAGTGAAGCCATCTGGTCCTGGAATTTTGTTTAAGAGGTTTTTTGATTACTGGTGCAATCTTCTTACTACTAATCATTCTGTTCAGAGTTCCTGTGTCTTCATAATTCAGTCATATTCGTGTGTTTCTAGGAATTTACCCATTTCTTCTAAATTATCCAATTTGTTTGCCTATAATTATTCATTATTCTAAATGGATCTCTCTGATCCATTTCTGATAGGTTGTAACGACTCCTTTCATTATAACTTTAAGTCCTCCTTTTCTTGGTAAGGCTAACTGAAGTTTTGTCAATTTTATCTTTTCAGAAAACCAGCTTAGTTTCATTTATCTTTTTCTATTGTCTTTTTAATTTCTATTTTATTTATTTGTTTGATCTTTGTTATTTCCTCCTTTCTACCCACTTTGGGCTTAGTATGTTTCTAGTTCCTTGAGGTGTTGAGTTATGTTATTTGAGATCATTCTTTTTCTTCATGTAGGCATTTATCACTATAAACTTCCCTTAACTGCATTCCACAAGTTTGATAAATTGTTTTTCACTTTTCTCAGGATTACTTTTTTTGCTGCATTCCACAAGTTTTGATAAATTGTTTTTCACTTTTCTCAGGATTACTTTTTTATTTTGATCTCTTCGATTCATTGTTCAGAAACATGTTGTTTAATCTCCCTTATTTGTGAATTTTCCAGTTTTCTTCTTATAGCTGTTTTCTAGTCTCATAACATTGTGGTCTGAGAAGATGCTTGATTGGATTTTGATCTTCTTAAATTTATTGAGACTTGTTTTGTGGCTTAATGTACAATCTATCTTGGAGAATGTTCCATGTGTTGAGAATGTGTATTTGGTAGCTTTGGGATGGAACATTCTGTATATGTCTGTAAGGTCCATCTGGTTGAATGTGTAGTTTAAGGCCAATGTCTTCTTAATGATTTTCTTCCTGTATAAAGTGGAGTATGCACTTTCCCTGCTCTTATTATGTTGTTGCAGATTTCTCACATCAGAAGATTAATATTTGTGTTGTATATTAGGTGCAACTATTTTGGGTTCATAAATATTTGTAATTATTACATCCTCATGATTGGTCTCTCTTACTACATTCTTTGGTTTAAAGTTTATTTTGTCTTGAGATAAGTACAGTTACCTTTGCTTCATTTGATGTCTATTTGTATGGAATACTGTACTCAGCAAAGTTGTCCTTCAGAATTGGAGAGATAGTTATCCAGACTAAAAACAGCTGGAGTTCGTACACCTGTTAAGAATTGCTTTTTTGTCTGCCATATTCTTATGGATCTCATGGACACTGGCTGGTTTTCAGAGCTAGATGTTTTGGGAGCTCATCACTCCAATGGAAACCTTAGAAGTTGAGGCACTAGAGGCACTCCTCAGAACTAGAAGTTGGGGTTCCCTCCCAATTGTATGGTGCTGTGCTGGGGTTTATGGCAAGTATCTCTCAGCCTTTCCTACCCATGTGGGCATTTCCTCTTTGTGCAATGTGTACTAGTTTCTGGGTCTCTTTCAGGGGGAATATCCAATGTGTATCTGTACATTTGGTGAGGCCATGGAAGGAGGGCACTCAGTAGCCTCTTGTGTCATCTTTGTGTTGGTCAACTCTCCTGTATCCCTGTCCTTAACATGAATGAGAGCTCTTTTTTACAAGGAGTTGTGACAGACTCATCATCTGTCCCCTGTGAAGTTAACCCTCATTTTAAAAATTGTGACCGTTGTAATTTTAATGTGAGAAGGCTCTCCTGCAGCTGGAAGTTTTCCTCATGAGTCACTTCTACATGATTGTCACATGTAGTATTTGTAAAGGCTAAAACTAAAACATTAGGAGCTCCCAGGGTTGTGCCACACAGTCTAATTTCTTGTATTATTTGTGAAGAACATTTTGCCCTATTGTAAACACTTCTACATCAGAATCTCTGTGATGCAGCCTAGAAATCTACATTTTAATAATTTCTAAAGTTTGAATTCACATTGCTTGTTAGAATTCATCATCGTTATTTTCATTGACATCTTCTGCCAGTTTTTACATCTGCTAGGTTATTCTCTTGCTATACAAACGTAACCTCTAATTTGATATGCAGCTCAATTTCTTAGCCACTCTCCTTCCTCAGAGGAATACTGATATCAGGTGTTGATATTCTGATTCAGAGGGGTGGAAATAGGTAATCAGCAGAAGCAACTGCAATGTCTTTCTTTCCCCAAATGTGGGGGTTGGGGAAGAAAGGGCATTCAGAGACTGGGTTGTATTTTGCACAAGTGATTTTGATTGTTACTTATTCTGCTATTCTGTTTTTTATACCAAATCAGAAGTAGAATGGCTTTTCTTATACACATCTTTAACAAGCCAACTGTAATTTAGATTTTAGCATTAGTTATGATGTTTTTCTCACAGGTGTCATCTTTAAGAAATGAAAAGCGAGGTTCATCTTATCTCATCTCTGCCCCAGAAGGTGGTTCCGTGGAATTTGTTGACCAGCATTCTCAGGGCACAGGAGCATATTACATGGAGACCTACTTAAAAAAGAAGCGTGTGTACTGAGCTAAGTTCTCTCCTTATATAACCTCCTATGGCTCTTTGAGTATCTCTGCTGTTCATCGCTGCCTTAACTACATTCATACTAGCCATATCCTTTAAATACGGGTTTATAATTTCCCAGAAGGAATTGTGTTGTGCAGCAGGCAGAATTGCCAAATAAAAAGTAAGTAGCAATAAGAAGGGACCTTTTCCAATAGAAGTAGATGCATCTTAATCAATGCGGTATTAACTTATAGTCCAGTGCAGAAATTAACAATATTCCTTATTTTAGGACTGGGAATAATTTTGGCACCATACATAAAAATTTGAAGCAATAAATGGGAAACAGTCTTGTTTCCTGGGCCTTAGAAGAGTTTCTTACATGCCAATGTGCATTTCTATTTACCTTCCCTAGAAGTAATCTTACTTATAGATTTTTAGAATTACAAGAGTACAAGTACAAAATGCAGCAATACTGAAAAAAAGATGCTATACATGCAAACTAAATTATTAGCCACATACACCAGCCATGTAATATAAAACCCCCCCAGAGAGTGATACCCTGGTATACACTACCACAGATTCCTTACTTCTAATATGTTATTAACCATATATGCCTTTTGTGAAAAAACAAGGTATTTTAAGAAAAGTAGCCTTGATGCTATTACTTAAGCGGGTGGCAAACCATACCCTGTGATTAATTTCAGTCCTCCACCTGCTTTTGTACAGACTACAAGCTAAGAATGATGTTTACATTTTTAAATGGTTGGAGGAAAAATGAAAATTTTAAGAAATTGTGTCCATACATAAAATTTTATTGGAACACAACCATGCTAACTCACACCCTGTCTAAGGTTACTTTTGTTCTACAATGGCAGGGCCAAGTAGCTGGACAGAGACCTGCAAAGTCTCAAATATTTATCATCTGGCCCTTCATGGAGAAAGTTTGCTGATCCCTGATCTAATAGTACTAATTCCCTAATCCTTTTACTTCACCTAAAGAAAGACCTTTAACTTTTGCACCTGACTTGTAAGTGGCAAGGAACTTAGGTTTCTGTCTCATTCCATGACGTATCGACTAGTAATTAGATCATTAAATGCATTATTTCACAGTATGACAGTAAAGCAGTCAATGCTGTTCTTTCTGAAAGAGTCTTATGGAGTGATAGTATTTACCACCATTTTGAACTAATAATAATAAGCTTTACTTCACTTTGTCTCTTATTCTGTTGTAGTATGTTAGGCTAAAAATAAAACAATTTTGTTGCATATAACTTCTGACATCACCATTTCCTGAAGACATTGGTATTAAATGCATGAGAAACCCTTTGCCATCTGGAAATATCAAAGTTTGTTCCTTGTTATGAGACTGTAATTGATAAGGAATTTAGGAATCTCAATGATCCTAGTCTTTTTGAACTCAGATTGTTAAATATCTTGTAATTTGGGGGACTTACTATTTTTGACCATGATAATGAGGTATATATCCTGTTTTAATTATGAAGTTAAAAAAATTGGTGCATATGTTGTAAAAAACATTACTTCGTCTAATTTATTGCATATATTAACTTCTTTTGGAAAATGAAAGCTAATTTCTAAGAAGGATACAAGGATACTACCTATGAATAACGATCAGGATAGGCATGACTCAGCAGACCAATAATGGGTTCTCCATGCTCTGCACTTCTGCCCATTTTCCTGCCGCATTAAGCTTCAATGCTTAGTCACACACATAAGATGGTGAATTTTAAATAAGAGCTGCGAAATGAAAATTCATTTACAGCACATGTGGATCTGCCCTCTGTCCTGGCTTATGCACCACTAACATTAGACATAAGTACAAATCAAGTGTTGTTAGTAAAAAAGACCCTTCCCAAAGTCTATATTGTTATTTTTCTAAGTAAACAAATTGTTTGAAATGCTTTGAAATGGAGTCTTAATATTAAAAGGCATATGCATGTGAACTCTCGTATTATTTATTTGTATAAAGAGTAAACAAAGTGCATATAGAGTGGCCACAGGTTTGACACAGACAGACATCTTGGTGATGGGGGATCTTTGAACAAATCTAAATGGATCAATCCAGAACTCTCTTTTCAGGCTCAAAAGGTAAAACAAAACATTTTTCATACTCTTTCTTGGTCATAAAGATCTAATGGTTCACATTGAATCAGAGATTAGACATTTTGATTACCCAGCTACCTCAAAACTGTCTAGTGGATCCTGAACTCCATAGTGCTACTAGCGGGTTCTTTTCTTTCAAGTCTTATTCCCCTGGGCAGCGATTTTCAACCAGTGTGCCACCAGAATTGTTAAAACATGCAATACCTGACTAGTCAGCGGCGTACTCTTTTCCCTTGTCAAAAAAAAAAAAAAATTACAGCTAATACAACAATAGCCATCTGGTGTGAATGAACCAAAATTATATCTTTTTTTTGGTGTCCCATGAGTTGAAAATCGCTGCCATAGGATGACGGTCAAAATAGTGATCGACTGTTATAGATGGCGGGTAAGTACTGAAACACTCTAAGAACAGTGCGATGTAGTATATATTCTGACGGGTTGCATCCAAAACCAATGCTGGAATAGCTTGCCCCAAAGTGGTCGAGTTATAAAAGGATATATATACATTGACATTTCTTAAAAGCGTGTATAACATCATCCAGGTTCTTGGAATCAAATCTGTTTAGCAGTATACTGTTTGGGAAAGCACTGGCACAGGCTGAGTTCTCAAGAATTAACACCAGGCAGCAAAGGGTCTATTCCATAGCAGTCCCCCGAGCACAATCAGTTTTCTTAAAAAAAATAAAAGGGTACCGCTGGTCACCCAAGGGGACAGGAGCTAAGCTACTGGAAAAACAAAACAACTCCAAGTTTAAAGTCCTATTGATGACAAGAATACACTCATCTTTGTATAGAAATGATAGTATACTAACTGGTATCTAATAGTTCAAGAATGCTTGCTCTATCACTATATAGATGATGTATTGACTAAGTCCATTTACCTTTATCTTTTGATTTATGCACCAGAAAAATATTTAAATCAGCTGGGAGAAAGCAATCATCTTGAGATTTTGTTTTGAAAATATCCTATTCTGGTACACAACTGTGATGGTACACTAGCCAGATGAAATGGTGGTATATCGTTCCAAAAGGAGGAGTGCTTACTAATATTTTGGTTGTCATTAAATTTGGCACCAATAACAGTGACAAATAACAAGGAAGTACTTACACATATTAAGCACCACAGCGTGCCTTATACGTGAATTACGTACCCAAGTATCTTTTTAGACAGAATACAAAGTTTTTCCATTAAAATTTTTTTAAATGGCTTGGGTATTTGTTGGGGAAGAGGACTTAATACACAGTGAGATTTAAATGCTATTCATGCTTCTTATTTTAAAAGTGCCTCAAATCCTTCAATAAGGTTCTGGAAGGTTGTCCGATTATTTGGTTGGAATTCCCAGCATTTTCTCATAAGTTGATAAACCTGTAAAAAGAAGAAACAGTAACAGTAAAAAAAAAAAAGTATAGAAATGTAAATGACTTTCCATAAGACTAGATAACAAGGGTATTTGAATGATTAATATAGAAAATGTCACACCTATATTTCATAAATAATATTTTAATATTTGAGAAGCTCATCGGTTAAATGACCTTAAAAAAAAAAATCCAGGTCATTATGGTAAACCAATTTAAGGGTGAAGTATTATCTCAGTTTAGATTCTGGGTACCTTACTCTAAGATGTACTGCATAGTATGAATTAGTCTTAAAGGCTCAATTTACTTTAGAATACAGAAAACTGAACATCTTAAATGCTACATCATAAATGCTATCAGTAAGTAGGACAAACTTCTACACGAAATGTATATATGTATTTTTCACAATAAGGCTATACCAAAATATGCTCCTATGGTACTTTCTGAGGTGAGCCTACTTTTGGAGGGAATCCTTGCTTTGAACATAATTTGTGGCTGTCATCTGGCCCAAAGATGATTTCTCAAATATCTGAAATTCAGCTTCAGAAAACAGTTTTAAAGAACTGTCTACTCCTCCCTGCTCCTCCCACCTTGTCCCTTGCTGGATAAATGCAAACTGTGAAAACATAGTAACATTTGAGTGGTGTAACTGTGAAGTGCCCGACCCATAAATACCTCATCTGGACAGTTGGGAGGACAAGGCAAACGTTTTCCTTCTTTCAATGTGTTCACAAGTCTCGTTACTGTCATCTGGCCGTGAGTGGGGCCTATCATTTTCAGGAACAACTATGTAAAATAAAACCAGACAAGATGTTTTAGGTTGCATATATTTATATAAACCAGATTAAGGTGGAATTTCTAGAATAAACTGGAAATTAAAATAATAAAAAGGCTTTTTTCCATAGTAACTCTAAATGCAAGTCCAAAAATCCTTATTAGCACTCAATGATCAGACTCAACCCACCACTCCTCCTGGCCAGGGAGCCTTCCCAGTGAGAATGACCTCATTTAGGAATACGTGAAGCTCAGACAAAGCTCCTACCCAGGGCTCCTTCACACAGAGGAGACCCTTGAAAGTCAGGGTTATCTGAGAGAACTTTGGGCTCCTTGGGAAAGCAGGATGTGGGAGAGCCACACAAAGTGTCAAGGAATAAACCAAGTTAGATGGAAAGCAACACTTTCCATTATAATACATGAACTGGATTCCACTTAAGAACTTAAAACTTACAAAGCAGAAGGATGGACACATTTTTGTTGTTGCTAATCCTTACCTGAGGATATTTTTCCCATTGCTTTTCAGAGTGGGAGAGAGAACTGGTTGCTTCCCTCACACGCCCTGAAAGCATGTGCGGGCCAGGGCTGGACACATTTTAATTGGGTGCTAGGCTCAAATGAACAGACAAGTACAACTTACAGCCATGGGACTGGAATCTGAATCACAGTAAGTAAGCAGCTCGTGCAGAGTCACTCCGAAGGACCAGACGTCAGAGGCAATATAAAATTTACACTGAATTAGACATTCTGGGGCGTACCTAAAAGAAAGGAAAACATGAAACTTCACTTCCTGTGAAGGAGATGCCAACAGATAAATACCTTACAAATAAAAATCACCTTTGGTTTGTCTTAGAATTTAATATTCTACGACATGAAAGTATGTATTAATCTCAGTACATATTTCCTCCAAAACAATAGCAGGGTAAGTTTGTGCTCTTCACTGCACACAGCCTGTGCTCCCCACGTGGAGGCAGGTATATGGGGACAGGCCCCAGATTTGATTTGCCTACAAGTTCAGAACGAATCAGCAGTGACCTCCCTGCCCAGTCCTCTTCCAGTGTCAGCTGTTTTGATGAATGATACCCAATTGCCTAAGCCAGAAATTGAGGCATCCCATATCTGATTTCCTAAATGCTTCTCGTACCTACTCACCTCTCCTAAACCCACCATCACTGGCTCTGGCTGAATCAAGCCTCTCTGGCTCCCCTCCATTCCACAGTGACCTTTTAAAAACAAGTCCCCACCCAACAGTACCCCAAAGCTCGTGGGATCCCCGCCCCCCAAGGCAGACCTCCCACTTCATGACCAGCCACACCGAGCTGATGTCAGTTCCTAGGATACCACTGCTCTTGCCTCGTTCTTTTGAGTCACACATGCCTTCTTCTAACCACCTTTACAACCCCCCACGGATCTTTTAAGGTTTCTTAGGACTTCCAGAAAACCAAGCCTGAACCCCCCTATATTTATGGTACCATGAAATTGGTTACCTCACCCATTAAACTCTAAACTTGGTCTGCTTGTGTCTTGACTCGTTTGATTAATGAACAAAGGAAGGTTTAGTCTCCATGGATGGGAGAGATCTCCGTTTGTGTCTGTAGGATGTACCTCCCAGGTGCTCATTAGTTTAATGGGGGTGGGTAGGGTCTGGAGTGGACACTTAACAACTTCTCTCCTGGACGGTGTTCTGGGCTGACAGGTGGAAAGCAGGGAAGACTGGTGATTCAAGAGAATATGCCCATGTTTCCCATGGATTTTGCTCTGCTCTGTCCAGGGTCTCCTTGGATCTGTTCCATGCCCACTTTATCACCTCATTCCTGCCCCCTTCTCCTACCTGCCCTCCAGGCTGCCTCTACAGGGATGTGCCTACTCTAACTGCTAACAGTTTTAAGAACCATATTAGATAAGTGCCTTCTTGCTTGGCCGGTGTGGCTCAGTGGTTGAGCTCCAACCTATGAACCAGGAGGTCATGGTTTGATTCCTGGTCAGGGCACATGCCCGGGTTGTGGGCTCAATCCCCAGTGGGGGCGTGCAAGAGGCAGCCGATCAGTGATTCTCATCATTGGTGTTTATATCTCTCCCCTCCTCTCTGAAATCAATAAAAATATATTTTAAAAAAGTGCCCTCTCCTGGGAAACTGGAGATGCGGAGGTGATGGTTACATTTCTCTATTCTTTGGAAGATGGTGCCATTCGAAGCTCAGACATTTCTCTGAGTTGCTTTCAGTGGAAGAGCCTAAAGCTGTTTCCTGAGGGCAAAGATCAATCAATTCCAAATGTTCTAAGGCCTTTCTAACACCAACTCAGGTAAGAGGAATGGGAGACATTCACAGAGCTAGAAAGGGCCTATCAAAACAGCAGAAACCCTACGAAATACTGATGAAACCAAAGTCTGTTTTAGTTACCAGAACACAGGGCTGTCCCGGTCATCCTTGACTGTGTAGTACTCCTTATCGGTTTCAATTGCTTTAGTTAAACCAAAGTCTCCAATTTTCACTTGGTGCTCACTTTCAACAAGGACATTCCTTGCTGCTAAGTCCCGGTGAACATACTGTCGTGACCCCAAATAGTCCATCCCCTGGGGAGAGAAGTAAAGGCAGAGGGCATTGCTGAAGGTCAGTTCACACTGTATTTCCTATCATTTCATACAAAAAAATTACAATTCACATATCACTGTTTGGGTTTTTACTTTATGCAAAAATAGTAAGACCAATCTGATTCAAAGAAACACAGTAAATCAGCTATACTTAACAATCAGTTCAGTTTCTTAGTAGAGGCTAATTGTTCATCCTAGTCATGTAGAGCAAAATAAACTCAGTGCAATTATCAGAAAGTCTAATTACAAACCAATCACCCAGGGTGAATGCCCCTTTTTGTAATCTTTAACATGCTTCTTCTTTACCTTACAAATCTGAACAGCATATTTTAACTGCTGTTTGAGGTTAATTTTGTTCTTATTCTTTGGAAGATATTCCTTAAGGCTTCCAGAAGGCAGAAATTCCATGATGAGCTTAATACCATTTCCTCCTGTATTCAAAACAGAACAAAACATCAGTACGAAGTTACCAAAGAAAGGAACTGAGGGAGAGTAATGGGCACAGGATCTGGAGACACTTCAGCATCACCTCTGAACCACAGGCAAGTCCCCCAACCTCGAAAGCCCCACAGCCTCTGGCCCCTCAGCAGTGACAAGGATAGTAACACTCGTGTACCCACCCCAGAGCCATCAGCATTCACTGAGAGAATACAGAGTGCGCTGCAAACCACCAGGCAAATAATAATGAAAAAAATATATATGAACCACATCATTTCACTGCCAATTTTAAAGTACTGGCTTGCAAACAGATACACTTCTTAGTAAACACCATTTGCCACCTTGCCTTAGACAACTAGGAAGCGAAATATCCTGGCTAGAGTTGGATCAGAAGACTAGGAGAAGCGAGGGGTGGGTGTCAGTTTCATACTGCTGTGTGCCTCCAGTGCCAGTATCCGGACGGGTGATGGTCAGGCCCCCGGGTGGGTGTGTGAACAGCCTGGAAAGATGATGCCGGGGTCATCCCCTGGCTGGGAGGGAGGCTGCGCGGCTTCCCTGGAGCTCTGCAGCTGCTGAGGGATGTCAGTGCCTACAACTGCAAAGCCCTACAGCTCACGGGGGCCACCAGCTAGCGCACATACAGCTGCGGCACTGCCGCCTCAGCACTGGCCCCTCTGATCCCAGACAGGCGCTTAGTCTTTAAAAACCAACCCTACTTTGCACAACATACCATCCTCTGTGCAGATGCCTTTGTACTTGACAATGTTCTCGTGATAGAGGTTCCTTAAGATTTCAATTTCCTTCTTCAGATCAGCTATGTGGTTCCCTCCACTCTCAGGCTTCAGGGATTTGACAGCCACCTGCTCTCCTGTATTGTCCCCTTCAGGGTCATACCTGCAGAGCTCAACCTTCCCAAAGTGGCCCTGGAGGAAAGATGCATGTGCTGGATTAGCCTGGGCTGGCAGGAACATGCTCAGAAGTTGAGGCAAGATGCACTCAAGAACTCCCAATGGGGAAAGGCTATCTCTTCAACAAATGGTGCTGGGAAAACAGGAGAAAACACATGTAGAACAATAAAACTGGAACCCTACTTCACACCACTCACAAAAATTAACTCAAAATGGATCAAAGACTTAAACATAAGACCTGAAACCATAGAACTCCCAGAAGAAAACATAGGGAAGAAGCTCATTGGAATACTGGTATTGGAAATGATTTTTTTATACATGATGCTAAAAGCCCAAAAGAAGAAAATGAACATATGGGACTACATCAAACTCAAAAGCTTCTGTACAGCACAAGAAACAAATTAACAAAATGAAAAGACAGCCTACAGAATGGGAGAAACATTTTGCAACCATATATTGGATAAGGGTTTAATATTCAAAAAAAAATAGAACATAAATACGTTAATAAAATAAAAAAAACCGAAAAACTTAATAAAAAATGGGAAGAAGAACTAGAGACATTTTTTCAAAAAAGGACACACAACAAGATGCTTAACTTCACAGGGAGATGCAAGTACAACCCACAAAGAGCTATCACTTCACATCATTAGAATGGCTACCATCAAGAAAATAAAACGACAGGTGCTGGTGAGGATGTGAAAGGGAACCTTACACACTATTGGGAATGTTTATTTGTCCAACTACTACAGAAAACAATATGAAGGTTCCTCAAAAAATTAAAAATAGATCTATAATGATCCAGCAATTGCACTTCTTGGAGAATACCCAAAGGAAATGAAAAAAGGAATTCAATGACATATTTGTACTCTATGTTTATCACAGCACTATTCACAATAGGCAAGATATAGAAAAAATACAAATGCCCATCAATGACGAATGGGTAAAAAAAAGAATGCATATATACAATGGAATAGTATTTAGTCAGGAGCAAGGGTGATATTCTGCCATTTGCAATACCATAAACAAACCTTGAGCACAATATGCTAAGCGAGATATGTCAGACCAGAGAAAGACAAAAACAAACAAAAAATCTAAAAAATCAAACCTCTTTAAAAAACACAAACCACAGTTATATTGTAGTTATCAGGGATTTAGGACAGATGGTGTTTAAGGGTATGGACTTGTAACGTACTAAAATAGCCACAAAGATTTAATGTACAGTACACTGAACATAGATAATACTGCATTATAAGTATGTAATGTGGTAAACATCATTACATAGGCAGCCATATTATAATATATAAGTCTATCAATGTAGCACATACTACATACCTTTAATTTATACAATGTTACATGTCAAATTTTTTCAATTAAAAAAAAAGATGAGTCTTGCTCCCCATGCTGTTCCCCTGAAGACCAGGGGTGCCTAGCATAGGCTGACCTTGCAGTAGCTGGCTCCTGCTGGCTTCTACCATCACCACAGCCACTTCCTCACATGCCATCCCCTCTATTACTGAGCTAAGACACGGCAAGTATCAGGTGGCTAGTGAATCCAGTTTCCATGGAAATGTAACCCAAAGGAAATGGAGGTTATTTTTGGCCAAGTAGGACCACTGTGGCATTCGTGGACAGCCCAGTGCACACCCTACAACATAGGCACCATGGAGTCATTTCAAGAGCCTTGCATGGGAGCCCTTTGGAAGAAAGGGATTAGATCCCAGCTTAGCGACTTGACAGTGATGTTGGCCCAGTTACCAAATCTTTGAGCTGGTCCAGAGGTGCTCGATGTATACAGCAGTAATAACCCCTCAGGGATACTGTGAAGAACTAGGGACTCTGTGCTTGTAAAATACCCAGCATGTAGCCTGGCACACCACAGACATTCAAGGCAGGACACAGTCTTATTTACTTTACGGAACTACAGAAAAATCTGTATAAAGATGCAAGTCCCAGTATCTTCTCCATCATGTTAAATGTTAGGAAACTTATTTGAGGTCCAAAGGAAAGCTGCTATGTCATTCTGTGTAGTAAATCTACCCCCATTTAAGCAGCCTCGTAGGACACAGATGCCCAGAGATTTTCCTATTTCCACCGTATCTGTACCTACTCCCCCATATTGCTCCCTCTGCATGCTCTTCTGCCCCTTCGAGAACATGCCCTATGTGCATATACAGCCACGTGCGCATGCTGTCACTATGTGAGCGACATAACCCCTGTGATACAAGTGTCCCAAAGAAAGTGCAAAAAGAGACTTTCTCTTATGAACTTTGACCAGAAATGGGAAAGAATGGAAAGCAGCTTTAAATGCAGATGGAGGGGATGTGGTCAGGGAGTACTAGGAAGTAACTTGCCTCTCCCAAGTCACGGATTCTCTTTAAGAAGCGCTTTTCAAAATGTGTGGGATCCACTTCGGTTGCTGGCTTTTTCTCTGAAACGATGTCTGGATCTAACAGAAGAAAAATGAAAACATTAAAAAGACATGACTGCCACTCTCAGGCTCCCAGTTATCAGTTATCCCTGCCCCCCAGCCAGCTCTCCAGGGCATGGGCTGATCTTGGTTACGTAAACAGGGCCAGGCAGTGTCTTACTTTGCTCTTCCAGCTTATTGATGTCTCTCATGATGGCTCGGAAAAAGGGTCTCTGGTTGGGGTCGTAGTTCATGCAGCGAGTCATAAGGTCAGCCAGCTCCTTACAAGACGGTGTCACTGGTCTGCACCGGCTTTCGTAGAATCTCTCTTTCTGTGAAGAAGAAGAGAACATGGAAGAAACCAAAGGAACCACCCACAAACCTTTTAGCCCCAGGGCAGGACGAGTAATCAATCCTAATTTAATTTCCAACAGCTCTGCTTAAAGGTAGATTTCAGAGACGTGCATGGGAAAATCTCTGATAAAATAATCTGAACCCCAAGAAGCTGCATTCCAGTCAAGTTACCCGACCTTTCTGGAATACAGTTTGGCAACATGTATAAAAATCTCCAGGTCCTTGAAACCCTTTGACTCATTAATTCTAATTATTGTATGACAGAAATAAATCAGATATAAACAAAGATTTATATGTCAAGGTATTCCCTGCAGAATTAGATAGAACATTACAAGTTTGAAAACAGCCCAAATGCCAGATATAAAATTAGTTAAGTAAATTAGAGTTTAACAGAGCAATCAACACTTACACTGAATTTGTAAAATTGTAAAGCTTATTTAATCAAGTACTCAATATTAATGAAATGATATAGCATGTATAACTCTAGCATGATCCCAATTTTATTTTAAAAAGAGATATGAACAGACTGGAAGACAGTATGCCAAAGTGTAAAATAGTGGTCAGGAGTGACAGAAATATGGTGATTGCTATTTTCTTTAAATGTTTATTACTTTAAAATTCAGAAACAAATAATTGATGCCACTCAAAAAAGAACTAAGTGAAATTACTACCCCCCAGTTTCTGTCTGTAGCTGAATCCCAAGAGTACTAATTCCTCTTCTTGTCCCCCTGAGGGCGAGGAGGTGAGTGTTAGGGTCCCAGGGGAGGGGAGAGATTAGGATTACGGAGCTGAGACCGCCCTCACCTCTGAGGGTCTCTCACCTTCCCTGTCACAGGGCTGTCCAACCCAACCAAGGCTACCCGGGAGGAGACTGGCGGACTTCTTTTATCAAAGGCACACACCGTTCCTCACACCACCCCTGTATCCTGCTCAGCCCTGGGTACACAGCAGGTACTCAATAAATTCTGACAGACAACGAAGGGTATGCTGTTTTATTTCCAAGGAAGTTCAAAATAAAATGATCTTACCAAAAGCTGGAAATTCCAAAGAGATTTATAGACCTGATGGTTTCCCTACTGGTTTTGCCCTAACACTCTTTTCCCAAGTCCTGCACCATCTTTACTTGGCCAAAGATTAACTGGTTAAAGGTTCTCCCTCTTCAATGATCTCCTACGTACACACCCTCGACTCTGGGTCCCAATGCCACTCCTGTTCTAGCCTCGGAGCATGAGTCCCTGCTGGTCTCTCCTCAGCCTGTCCATTCCAACCATGTGTCCAGATGAACTGTCCCCAAGCCGACCTCTGACCATCTCTCTCCTCAACGAAACTCTTCAATGTTCCATAAGACACACCCAAGTAAAATTCATGCAATCGGGGCTTTTTACAATCTGACCATAGACATCTCTCCAAACTTCATCACCCGTCATTCCTCACCATACTCTAGGCCAACGAAACCGCTCACTGCTTCCCGTAGACAACTGAAGTGCCACCTTCCCCCTGGACTTCGAGCAGCTCCTCCCAGCTACAAGGTATGTCTACACCTCTGAACGCAGGCATGTTCCAATCTCCAAATCACTGGGTCTGGGTCAGTGGCCCTTTACTGTTATTTTTACTACTTTATCCCTTTGGAGTCAAGAGTCTCCACTCTTTCCACAAGTGAACAAGAGAGGTTGAAGCCTCGCCTGTTTCGCAATCTAGCTGGGGAACCCAGGTGAGAGTCTTAAGCTCCTGCGCCTGTTACCTGACCTGTAACGTGTACAGTGAGGGTAATGGCACTCCTACCTAACTGCAGGGCTCTTGCACCGACAGTATGAAATATTCTTTATGGAATCCTTATTTTGTTATTTTAGCCCAATTCTCCTACCACACCCTCAAGGGAAGGCAAGGCCTGTCTGTTTTCTTGTGAGCCCCCAACTTTTATCTAGACAATGCCTGATACACAGAAGGAACTCAACAAATATCTGTATTAATTTTGCTGACTAACAGGCACTTGAAATCTCAGATAAATAATACTATAATGATCTTTGTTTTCCAGGGTGTGAGAACAAAAGCTCACCTCAATCAGTGTCTTATCTTTCAGGGGGATCTCGCCATTATAGCAGATTTCCCAGAGTGTGGTTCCAAAGCTCCATTTGTCAGCGGCCACGCTCAGGTTCTTGGAATCTTCTACACACTCGGGAGCAATCCATGGGATTCGTTCTATGCATTCTGCAGAAAGACAGCAGACATTCACAGATCAGTCTCTGCAATCACCTGGGGAGCAAATCACCATCGTTGCAGCAAACACTGTGAGCTCATAGAGAAACTATTTCAAGTAGTGCTTTCCAAATGAATCCAGGCCCCTCATCCTTGACATTGTGGATGCATCAGGCTGAGTCTGGGCCAGCAGACGTGTCTGTTTATCAGACTCACCAGGAGAGGGTGTGCAGCCCCGTCTTCTGAAGCTCTGGCCTCAGAAACAGCACAGCACCCAGGGTGGAGGCCAACACCCTGAGGAGGGAGAACAGGGGGGCCATGTGGACCGAGGCTCCAGAAAGAGAAGACAGGGAGAAGAGGCCAACTTACACAGAGCAGGTGCGGGCGAATCTCAACTACTCTGCACCATCACCCAGCAATGTTATATTTGTTTATTGTGGGTTTCTTTTGTTTGGAAAACAAGGGAAGAGAAGACTGAGGTAAAGAAGTCACCCTTCTCTCATACCAGGGACCTCTCAGCCTCTGTTCTGGCTTCTAAGGCCAGTGATCTGAGCAGAACCTCTGCCATGTCCCTGGACATGCCCCTCAACCAGCACAGTGGTCTCATGGCACAGCCTCCGGCTCCTGAGGCAGGAGGGCGGTTCCTGAGCTGGTCAGGCCCACTCACCCTTTCTTCTCCACCTTCTCACGTCCTTCTGACACAGGCCCGTGTGGCTGTGCTCTGTGGTCACACATCTGCCATCACTTGCTGCAGGTCCACCTCACTGACCCGTCATCCCCCCATCTCCCTACATCACCCGTACTCCCCAGAACGCTCACAGCATTTAACTGGCCTCTCTCGGCTCCTCTACTTGTTCTAGAGTCATCTGTGTCCATGCCTCAGACCCTTGCTCAGGACAGGCCCACGTAGCTGGCCAGCTGGATGATGGCCAGATGACAAGCATGTACTGCGGGGTGCCTCCCCTTCCCCTTCGATGGAGCAAAACTTTAAGTGCCCGGCACTGTGCTCAGTGCTGGAGACCATTGGCCATCACAAACCAGCGGCACGCCCTGGGGCACGCTGGTCTCCCACGCTGGCTTCAGTGTCTCAGCTCCCAGGTCTCCTTCCTTTGGGGCCCACACTCATGATAACCTCCTTCAAAGAGAAAATGTAATCTCTCGGGTGCCTTCCAAACTGCTAACTACTATAGTGGATTTCAAAAAAAACAAGGAGGACCCAGGAGGCCCAACTCCTAACACCTCTCTGACCACTTCCAGACCAGTGGCCTCCCCTTGTGCTAACCCGACACTGTGGACACAGCTCCTTAACTGCACGGACCAGAAGTACCTCGATGACTTGTCTGTATCTCCTACTATAGTCAGCTCCTTAAAGGAGTCAGGGACCAACCCTGCTCACACTCCATACCTCCCCCCAACCCCCAGGGCAGAGTAGGAGCACCAGACACCCACGGGCTGAAGTGTTCTTTCTAAAAGGAGACAGAACCCCAACCCCAGCCCTCTCTGCCTCGGGGTAGGTGTGGGAGAGGGGAAGGGCGAGGCCTGGGGAGGAGGAGACACACCTTGCCTGGACAGCACAGTGATGGGGATGCCAGGGTCACTGAGCTTGATGAACGGGCCACACTCGCTGTCGATGCCTTCACGGGCCAGGAGGAGGTTTTTAGTGCACACGTTTCCGTGGACCAGGTCTTTATCCTCCTGCAGAGCAAAAAGGGTGAGCTCAACAAGGCTGCCCCTGGCTGCCTGTCTTCGGTCCTTCCCACACTCCCTCCATTTCTAACCCTGGCCCCTTGGGTCAACCCCTCCATAGTCCCCAGCTACAGCCAGATCGGGGCAGCCCAGGTCTCCCATCCAACATGTGACCCGAGCACATTACAGAATGGGCCTCATCAGTGAAACAGGGATAACAGTGGAACATGCCTCATAGGGCTTTTGTGAGAAATAAATGAATTAGAACATGTAAAACATGTGAACAGCGGAACCACGGTAAGCACTCACTAAATGTGAGCTGCTACTGATACTGGTAGTTTCATTCATTCAACAGGTATTGCACTATTTCTCCTCCTACCATACACTGCAATGCAGAAGTCAGTCCTCTGACATGACAGATGTTCCCTAATCAAGATTCCCATGTTTGGAGCACATAGAGCACCCAATATGACCATGTTCACGAAGCAGCAGGCATGCCTGTGTTTAACCGCAGAGTCTGGGCACCCCAGCCTGCTTGGCTATCCCTGGCTAGCACCTCCTTCCTACCAGCGCATTCCTACCTACTAGGGCATTCTGGTTCCTGGCAGACCTCCACCAACATCAGATCAGAAGATACTTACCAAGTAACTCAGGGCACTGGCCAGCTGTTTAGCAACTTTGAATTTCCACGGAGTGGTGAGGACGTCGCTTTTCCTGTGCATGAAGAGATCCAGAGGCCCGCCCTCCACAAACTCTTCCACCATGATATCTGTAAGCACAGAACGAGCCCCATCTAGAACCTTCTGTCTGTCTGGGACAGTACTTTCCCTCATTCCCCTGTGAGAGCTTGAGTGGCTGGTGCTCGGCCTGGGAGGATGCCAACACCCTCGGGAGGGGCAAACAGCAGAGTGATTCAGAGCCAGTTCAAGCCTTGGGTTCAAGCCCGGCCTAGAGCTCCTTCTGCATCGACTCACAGGGGAACAACTCCACTTATCTACCCAACCTTCCAGGGCCCAGAGTTGGCAAGAAGAGAACATTCAAGAAATGAGTGAAAAACAAATGGGATTTAGTTTTAGGGTCACTATTAACCTAAACACGTGACCTGCTCACTACCTCAAATCCCTCGATTGCAAAACGAAAGGCAAGAAGCGAGGACAACAAGAAGAGGGTATCAGCTCCTCCACCCCCAGGTGTCTTCACAGCACCCATGCCCCCCCAGCCAGGACCATCCGCCTCTCCCAAAGAGAATACACTTACTCTCCACGTCTCGCACACAGACACCGTAGAGGTACACAATGTGTTTGTGGGAGACCTGTCTCATCATGCTGGCTGCCTCGAAGAAGGCCTGTGGGAGAAGGAAGGTCAAGAGTAAGCCACCCTGGTCTGACCCGACCCCATACGGGCTGTGCTGAGAGAAAAAGCCGATGGATCCCAGAAAGCTCAGGACTCATCCCCCAGGTCCTGAAGACTGCTCCCGGCCTCGACTTCCCAGGGGCAGTGCCAGGCCTTCCCCTTGACCTCAGTCTGGCTGGGGGTGGTATTTATTTAGAAAAACCTAATAAGATATGGAGCCAGGCTGGTGAGATAGGCTAGCTATCAATTTCCCCATTGCATACTCACGCCTACCACTTTCGCTCCCTTTAAACGCTGGGAAATGACAATGTGCAGCACTGTATTAGAATAAAAGGGACACTAGGGCGCAAACAGGCTCCATCTCTCTAACAGCCCGTGGGGCCCGGGGTACGTTTCCACTCCCCTGGGCTTTCCTTTTCCAGACTGTGGAGTGACAGCCTGACTACATGAGGGACTCTGAGACCATTCGGCTGGAGTCCTGGGGCCACAAGAACCTCCAGGTAGAAAATAGGAGGAGAGGGGAGGGATAGGCCGGCGGGAATTGTTGCTCAATCTGCTTCATCTCCAATCCTCCCTCCCTTATCTAAGATTACATGTGAAAAAAGGGATTACATAAAAGACATGTTTGAAAACCATAAATAAGGCCAAAATAAGGGCAAAGGTTCTTCCCAGCTGACTGTGCTCCACAGGTTCCAGAAATGGGAGGTGGGTTAGGAGGACACTTGCCAGAGAAATGTCCCTGTGGCTGGGGTCCAAGACTTTGAGGATCACTTTTATTTTCTTCTCTTCAGAAGTTCCTTCGTCATCCTTGTAATCCACCAGGGTCCCAGAGTAGATGTGTGTCCGCGTGCCTCTCCCAAGGTGCTCTCCCTGGAGGAGGAAGCAAGAGGTTGGGTAACTGCTGGGAGTCTGGGACTGAGGCCTTAATGGGAACACACACCAGAAGGGGGTGGGGCACAGGCAAAAGCGCCCCAATGGTTCAAAGCCTCTCCAGTACCTTGTCCTGGTCAGGCCTCCAGAGGAAACAAAAAGCTACTTGCCAAACAGTGTGGCACTTCCTGGGCCCCAGGAGACAGCCCTCCTATTCCCAAACACTCCCTTCCTTCCTTCTACTTCTAGGAACAGCCTGTGGCCAAAACATAACCCTGAATGACTACCACAACACTTCCAGCAGTGCTGCAACAGCCCGACATCAGTTCCGCCCTCGGCCTCCAGAGCAGATGGAGAGAGGACCCCTTTGGGGACTCCGCTCACAGGCTGAGTCACACACACAGGGGCTTCTTAGTCCTGGCTCTACTGCTCGCTGGCCATTTAACTTGGGGACCTTCCCTTACCATGCTCAGTGTCTGCCCACTCTCTGTAACCAGGGGTAATAATGGGACCTGCCTCAGAGTCAGATGCACAAATAGGTACAAAGGCTCCTGGTACAGATGCTGGCACAGGATGGGTACAAGCCAATCTGTTGGGCTGGTGTATTTTGTTTGATTGCCCCAACCAGGCACTCACTGTTTCTCACACATGAACTGTTCATCCTCTATCCATATATCCAGTGCATGTGTCCATGCTTTAGAACAGGGGTCCTCAAACTTTTTAAACAGGGGGCCAGTTCACTGTCCCTCAGACCGTTGGAGGGCCGGACTATAGTTTAAAAAAAACTATGAACAAATTCCTATGCACACTGCACATATCTTATTTTGAAGTAAAAAAACAAAACGGGAACAAATACAATATTTGTATTTGCATGTGGCCCTCGGGCCGTAGTTTGAGGACCCCTGCTTTAGAATTAGTGATGCAATTCACACACGCATTTGCCCTAGCAATCCCACAAGGAAGGTGATGTGGACAGAGGCACAGGCTGGAGGGCAGGCCCTCAATTTCCTCACGGGTGAGAATGGATGATCCCACCCAAGGAATGGCCTGAGGACTAAAGGAGACCATCTGCACAAAGTCCTTAGCACACAATGATCTGTGTCTAAGGACCCTCCCAGTTTAAGCTTGAATAATCCTGATCTAAACATTCTTAATATTTGGAATCAGCACATGACTCATAAATCGTACGCATGGTCATTGATATTAACCTCACAAAACCTGTAAACTGAAGTTCTATTATTTTGGGACCCTCTATAAATGCAGAAATGGATGGTAGCTGCCTTGTGCGCTGATTCCCGTTCCCCACAGGAATGTACACCATCGTTAATCGGGTATATTAATTTGCACATCACCACCACTTATCATCTGTCACTGCAGATGGTGATACATCTGCCCCGTCTCCCGGATCCTGGCAAGGGCTTTCGAGTACTCATTAGAGCTGCACCTGTCATGAAGCGATTCATCAAGGTTATGGGAAGTATGTTCCCAGAACATCCCGGAAAAGCCATATGCTTTCAGAATAATTACTCTTCCCCAGAAAGGTTACTGATTCCAGTGGCCAAGTCACGGTACCACGCTGTCAGGATCCCACAGCAGCCCTCAGAGGCCCTGCGTGTCCACGTCAGCCTCCTCCAAGCTGATCCCTCTGCTTCTACTGGCGCTTGCTCTTCACCCTCTGGGGCTCGGCTCTGATGCCACTTCCCCAGGAAGCCATCTTTGTCCTCCCCAGGTTAGGTGGGATGACGGTCGCTGAGAGCCCCACATCCTACTGTCCATCCTGCTATACTTAGGATTTGTCTCTTGATAACACAAATATCTACTTAAGGTAGACAAGGTCTGCCTCCTCCCCCAAGTGTGAGCCTGCCGAGGGTGGCGAGTGCACCTGGCACACGGCAGTGCTCCATCCTGTTGGCTGAATGAATGCTCGAGGCCTGAGGATGGCGGTGATCCAGCAGCTCCAGAGGAAGGAAAGAAGGCAGGCCCTGAGTACACATCACATTCTAGAGCAGCGGTTCTCAACCTGTGGGCCGCGACCCCTTTGGGGGTTGAACGACCCTTTCACAGGGGTTGCCTAAGACCATTGGAAAACACATATATAACTACATATTGTTTCTGTGATTAATCACTTGCTTTAATTATGTTCAATTTGTAACAATGAAAATACATCCTGCATATCAGATATTTACATTATGATTCGTAACAGTAGCAAAATTACAGTTATGAAGTAGCAACGAAAATAATTTTATGGTTGGGGGTCACCACAACATGAGGAACTGTATTAAAGGGTCGTGGCATTAGGAAGGTTGGGAACCACTGTTCTAGACAGAAAGGAGGCTGGGGCACCGCTGCCCTGGTGATTTTAACCTCTAGAAAAGGAACAAGGAGACTCCTTTCCGAGTTAAAGCAGTTGAACCAGCAGCCTCCCTGCCGTCCTGCCGGCCTTGCTGATGCTCCCCAGAGGCGTGTTCTCCGTGAAGGAAGGGGATCAGTGGGGCTGAGTGGGGTTGTCCAGGAACCTTATGCCCCAGGACATGCTATGGCAGAACTTCTGAGATTTAGTGTGGACTTTTCTGATGATGCTTCCAGAAGGAGCAAAGCTGAGGGAACACAGACATGGTGAGGCAATAGGAGATGCAAAACTGAGGCCTGAAGAAGAACTGTCTGGAGAAACAGATCCCAGAGTAGAGTCCCAGCCTTGGCGGGTCCTTAGCCCAGGCTGCAGCCTTAGGCAGGCTGTTCCCTCATAGCTGCCCTGAGCCTTGGCTAGGGGTGTGAGGCCCAGGTTACCCCACTCTCTGTTCCACACCCCTCTCACACAGAGCCACACAGCAGGGAAGGCTAAGGAGACAGCACCCAGCAGCCTTGCAGAGAAGGAATCTGCAAAGGGCCATTTGTCACCTGGGAGAGGCTGCGGCACTTTGGAGGAGTTGGAGAGCGCATGATGGACTCACTGCCTTTAAGGAGGCTGGTGGAGGTGGCGGGCGTGGGGTTGGTTTACTAAGTTAATTCCCGAAATTGCTGGATAGGGCTTTGAGGAAGTGGAAGCCTACAGACACAGCTGCCTCACTCCATTACTGTAAGTTATTTTCTGAAGGCCAGTCCTTATTGTTCTCTGTCCCCTCTGGTGGTATCAGAGCTGTGTCTAGAGCAGTGGTTCTCAACCTTCCTAATGCCGCGACCCTTTAATACAGTTCCTCATGTTGTGGTGAGCCCCAACCATAAAATTATTTTCGTTGCTACTTCATAACTGTAATTGTGCTACTGTTATGAATCGTAATGTAAATATCTGATATGCAGGATGTATTTCCATTGTTACAAATTGAACATAATTAAAGCATAGTGATTAATCACAAAAACAATATGTAATTATATATATGTTTTC